GCACGATCAAGCTAACGCACGAAAACTTTACAATTCTTACCCAGTAAGGAAGGCAACTGTCTAGGAAGCCCAATGTCACTGTATATGAGCATATCTCCTGGGACAGAGTCGCCGTTCTGGGTGCCTCCCCGACCCGTGGGGTCCACCCCACCGATCTGTGATAACCCCGCCACCGTGTTCGAGCCGGGATCCGCGGCTGCTGCTACTAAATCCAGGCCACTGTGAAAACTTGGACTTTTTGGTAAGCCAAGAGTAGTTGTGTTTCCAGCAGCTGTATCACGATAAAACATAGCCCTCGCGCCGGGGCCGGCCTCACTGTGCACCATCGCACCATTCACCCGCCACGCTTGCACCACTGCCACCACCAACTAGAACTACTACTCTCACAGATCACTGACAAGAGCGGGAAGATACAATATACAATACACACCACACCCGACTGAGTACTCCTGTTCGGCTTCGATCAATGAACATCTGCACAAGCAGCACAAACTTCCACACGTACTTCGAGAGGGGAACAAGCCTAGCTACAGCGACTACATATGCTGCCGAAGAAAGAGATCACATAGCCGGGGGTTAATAACTCTCTCCCTCTGATTTCAGTTGTCATGGCAACTGGAACCAACGCACTCTGAGATGACAGGAAGAAACATCCCCCTTTCGAACGCTAAGGCTTACTGCACTCACGAACAGACAGAGCCAAACTGACAGACAGCAGGCAGGAAAGGGAGCAAACGCCACCCACCAGCAAACGTCCGTCAACTGCATGCATTACCGACGGAGTAATCTGCAGAGACCCATCTAGTGCCAATTTCCGCTGCATAGATGTCAGCACAAATAAACGACAACAGCGCACTTAATGGCGAAATGCTTCACTAAATCCTAGAATACTATTGAAGCTGTGTTTATTGCAAGGCAGTTGAAATGTTTAGTATTTTAGAGTTTTGTTTGCTTGTAATAAATCTTGGTTCTGTATGGGTGTAAAACTTGGTCTCTGACATTAAGAAAGGACCATAGACCGACAGTGTTTGAGAACAGGTTGCCGAGGAGAACAGATGAAGTGGCAGGAGCTTGGAGAAAATTGCATAATGAGGAGCTTCACAACTTGTACTCTTCTCCAAGTATAATAAGAACGATAAAGTCAAGGACGACGAGATGGGCGGGGAATGTAGCACGAATGGAGCGAAGAGGAATGCATACAGGATACTGGTGGGAAAGCCAGAATGAAAGAGGCCACTAGGAAACCCAAGGCGTAGGTAGGTGGACAATATTAAAATTGAGCTTAGAGAGAGAGGATGAGATGGTATAAATTGGATCAATCTGGCTCAGGATAGGGACCAGTGGAGGGCTCTTGTGAACACGGTAGTGAACATTCGGATTCCATAAAATGCTGGGAAGTTCTTGAGTAGCTGCACAATTGACGGCTTTTCAAGTACTCATCTGCGTGGGTGAGTGAATGAATGTAATAAATCTGGTCTCAGATCCTGAGAAACTGCAAAGTTAATTATGTTCTTCCTGCTTTCAAAAGGCCTGCAATGTTAATGCCAAGTGAGATAAACAGGATGGTATAATTACCTTCGTATGTATGCTTTGCATCCTGTTGTGTACGTCACTGGTATGTAAGTTTCCCGTCGAACACAAAACTACACTTTCAATAAATAACCGATAGACTCGAATGTCGATAAAATCAGTTAGTGTATTGAAAAGTTATTTTACGCTACATGTTTCGGTCATTTACGACTATCATCAGGCATTATATAAACAGTAAAATAGACCAGCCTTCAATAAAGGACCGTGGCTTGCAGTGGATCCACTGTTACTAGTCTTGTCATGTATGAGTTTTTACCTGGGGTTACAATGTTTAAATTGTTTAAATGTATTGAAATACTTATCTAAGTTAATAAAACTGATCTTAAATTATTGTTATTTCCTAAAAATCATCTAATTATACATAGAGATATTTTTATATGTAGGTGGGATGGAGAATGGTGTGTTTTGGAACTTTTCGCTTTATGCTTTGGTATAATGTTGGATATTATAGCCTATGCGTCGTTTGTATCGGTCTCTTCGTGCTGTCTTGTTTTTTGGTGGTCTCAAAAGATATTAGGAATATGTTTTTATAGTAGTTTCAGTGTGTGTGTGTGTGTGTACTTAGGTTTCTGACTTTCTGTGGTAGACATGTTGGCCGTGTAATAAATGTTGATGCATTTGACTGTGTACATAACACCTGATGATGATCATAAACGATATAAAAATGTAGCGTAAATAACTTGTTAATAAATTGACTGATTTTATCGATATTCCAGCTTACCATTTATTTATTGAAAGTGCAGAGTTGTAGTGATCATGATAGCAACGTGGTATAATACTGTATTTAAGCATCCTGTTGCAATTACGTATGTATTTAGTACGTATGTATGTATTTATTAACTAACAACAACGATGAAATATTATATAACAACAGATTCCAGGAAATACCCATGCCGCGACAAAGGAATGCAGCACAAGACCCAGAATCAGCAAATATGCTCTCAGATAAATATATTTCAATGAACAGCTGATGACTACAATGAAGGATAACATTTAACTACTTTTAATTTTTAATTATAAGCAAATATACAAATAAAAAAGTAAAGCTATCCCTGCAACATGCCATGGAGGCGCATAGGGTTGTGAGACGTCGAGGTTCCCACATTATCTAGACAATCGGCTCACAGATGGCGGTAAGGTTGTCAGGCTTACGCGCCGGCCACCCTTTACGCCCAGGAAAATTATTTAATTAATTCCTAGTACTCATTTCTGTTAGAGGCTGAGTAGACCCCAGGGCTATAGTGCGGCTGGGAGGATTACATAAATTGAAAAATCCAATTACCTCAGCGGGAATCGAACCTGCGACCTTCCAGCTTGTAGCATAGTGCCTCAACCAACTACGCTACCGCGTGAAAACAGGAAACAGTGACGCAACATCAGTGCAACCGTTCGAGTTTCAGACTGTACGCAATACAACAGGGTCAAGCAACTCTACGTGGAAACTTAGGAACGACAACTTCATCTTTGACAACCGCTTCTTTCTATACTGAAGAATAGGAAACTGTGTGAACAACCAACTTTCCCAAGAGTTTACGTTTTACAACCTACAAATAGAGCCAATTAACTAAATTAACTCCGCTCAGTGGCTTCAGTCCACACGCAAACTATACCGACCTAGCGACCGCCGCTTGTCGGCGAAGTTAGTGCCAACTTTAGCGGACAGACGGTGTCGCGTGGTCAGTGCAACGAATCCCCACGGTCGTTAATTTCGGCTTTCTAGACCGGATAGAGCGGGGGGGGGAAGTAAAAACGTGCGATAAAGCCATACACATTGGCAATGGCTACACATGAAGTTCTTTTTATCACGAAGATATTAAGGACGAGATATTAAAGGAATAAACATTCTTACAAGATAACAGCTGTAGAAAATTAAATGTATTTGAAGTAAACCTGAGATATAAAAAAGGCTGATATAATCTGAGGATACGCCCATTTAGATTCTGAACAGAATATTACTTTAAGAGGCAATGAAGAACTCTCAATAACGTCACTAATCGAATCTTGTATACATAGCACGCAGGCACGAAAGGAGATGATGAAACTCCGGTATCTCCGAAAAATTCAGGAGTACATGGATTCAACTGGCCGAGTCCTCGTGGTGTCAACATTTAGACAGAGTTTAGCATCTACGTATGCAAGATAATTTCGAATAACTTCCACATCACAGACAAGGGAGATACTTCTCTCGCCAGGGCTCAATATTTAACAAAATTACAACAGCCTTCAGTAAGGGGTAGCGTAGTTGATTTGAGGTACACGCTACAAGTCGGAAGATCGCGAGTTCGAGTCCCGATGAGGTGGGTTCTTTTCTATTTACCTAATCCTTCCATCCGCACTATGGTCCTGGGGTCGACTCAGCCTCTAACAGAAATGAGTACCAGGAATCTTCCTGGGGGGGAAAAAGGCGGCCGGCGCGTAAGACTAACCTCACAGCCATCTCTGAACCTATTGTCTAAAAAATATGAGCCTTGACGTCTCACAGCCCTATGGGCCTTCACGGCCTGTTACGGGGATAACCTTACACCAGCCTTCATGTAAGGCGAAAAATGCATGGCTACTACAAAGTTTTTCCCGGCTCTGATGCCGTGCAGTCTAGCAGGTTGCTACCAACCTTCCAGAGGAACCTGCAGCCTGCAACTCCGTCTTATATCCTCAAGACAGAGACTACAGAGTGTCCCAGAAAGCTGCTAACGTTCTACCACATTACACGGCGCCATTACAGCAAGAACCTCAAATTTCAAAAAGTCTACTATTACTTACTGGGCCCATCAAAAACATTAAATCTACGATGTACATGATCTTATCGGTTGTAAAGCAGTGTACGTCGGTAGAAGTCTACCGACGTTACGTAAGAACGTTAGTGGGCATGTACCCAACTACACGGCGTTACAACCCAGAATATCGTGCCCGTCATTGTCACCACAGTGAAAACCTTACATCTAACCTTAAAACTAAATTTCTGGCTTTTTTATACAGGACTTGACAATCGCTCAGATGGGTCTGCAATTTTCAAAATTACGATATAACTAAATTAAAACCGTACTCCACAAATCATTTCAAAAAACCATTATACGCTCACCCATAAAAATCCGGAATAGCAGTAGTGCACCCTCAGTCAATGTTCCTCCCTTAATATTTAGTGTAGCACTCAGAAACGAAAACAATTACATTCAGTGGAGTCCTTTATACCTACAGAATCCTCCGTATTTACACGCGATCGAAGATGTATTCCTGTTTCGTATTCAGAGGTCCCTTGTTCAAATCTTGGTTCGACAGGCCGGTGCCTTCGCATTAGCTTTCAATGTAAACATATCCGAGAATTTTCAATAATACATCCGTTCGATCCAAGTTCAGTTGAGAGACAGGCTTCCCTGCACGTACAATATCCTCAGTTCAAGCAATTCACTTACCTTTAAGAAGTGGCAGTTTCTGGAGTTCACGATTTTTACTAATGTTGAATCTGGAGGAACTCTGTCGCTTGTCTTTCTTGATGTGAGGCGGGCCTGGATATTTGATCTTGTTGATCTGTGTTGGAGGCGGGACGTTGGCTCCGGGAGAGAGCTGTTGTGGTGACGGCTGTTGTGGCTGCTGAAGCTGCAATTGCTGCTGTGGTGCTGCTGGTGGTTGTGTAGAATTGGCATTCGTCTTGATCTGCAAACCGAAGGACCACGAACCGTTTCACTGAAGCATGCCAACTGCACAAATTATGAAATAAAGGTAAAAAAATGTATCCCTGTGCTTAACTAATTAAGTGATACGTCGTGAAGAAGCATGGGGGAGTGCACGTATTCTTGATCTCAGCAGTAGTTGGAGTTGAGTGGTTACCTTCACGACCCGGCCGCTTTATCCGGAAAGAGTCAACCCTTGTTATTGTTGTTATTGGAGAGGGTGGGTTTCCCCATGCACTTAGACCAGATATTGGTCCATTGTGCGTTCCCCTGCGATATTCTACCAGTCTCTATACCCTACCGCTACTGGTGCGTGCCATCAGTCCCGACTCAGCCAGCGAGTTCGGCCTCTACTGGCTCAGCGGTATCTCGATGCCTCCCCCATCTATCAGAGACGTTAGAGACTACTGTTGGGCGGGAAATGTCCTGAATTTGGCTCAGAGGTCCCCTTGAGACATGAGGTTCTTTTACGTGCCGTAAAGCTACGACACGGGACCCACGGCTTAAAGTCCCTCCCGGAGGACTTGTTCCCTGAATTTACCCCTTACCCTTACCCACTGGGTATGAGGTTGGGTGGGCCCCAGAACAGGTCTAGATGTGGAAACGAGAAAAATCTTACTAATAACGGGCCTCGAACTCCGACCCATCAGCCGTCCAATCCGTAGTATGAAATACTCGTAATAATTGCTCTCATGGAAAAGGGTTCTTCCTGAGAAACCAGCACACACTCAAGGGTGTAACAGCAAGCTGGAGAAGAACTTGTTCTATGAACATATACAATTTTTACCGTCAACGCAACAATACTTTATTATTTATTTAATTAATTTACTTATTTATATAGGACGCACTACATGTTTCGATCTCAAATGGGTCATCTTCAGATGCTGCAAGTTTCTCATATGCCATTGGCGAAACTTGCAGCACCTGAAGATGAACCGTTTTAAGTCGAAACATATAGTGCGTGCTATATAAATAAATAAATAATAAAATATTGCGTTGACGGTAAAAATTGTATACGTTCATTGTATATACGCAACAGGATACAATCCTTAAAAATATAATTTGTACTGTTCACCAAATATTATTAGGAAGTGAAAATCTGGGTAAATTTTGGGGAAAAAGATATTAAGTATTCCTAAGGTGAACGTTTTTAAATCATGATAGTAAAACACGTAGCTCCTCTGTCACCTTGCTACTACAATGTGTTTGCTGTCACGCAGTCTCGCAGAGTGAAAACGCACAGTTGCATCAACTATACCGGTCCAATTATCAATGAACAGGCGGCTGGTCCACTGTTGGAAACTTATATTCACATCTCATTTCACGTAAATAAGTTGCATATTTTGAATATTACTGCATATGTTCCCCGCCGATCTCAGTGGCCGCGCGGTCCAAGACATGAACCGTCTTCTCTCGCTCGAACACTGGGAGCGTAGGTTCGAATCCCACTCGAGGTATCGATGTCTGTGCTGTTCCGTGAGTAGGTAGCGGCCCTGTGACGGGCGGATCCCCCGTCGTAGAGTCCTACCGACTGTGTATAGATTAGGAAACTGAAAATGCGGCCAAGGCCCAACATAGGACTGTAGAGCCACGAGGGG